CTCAAAGGAGATTATGTTGAAAAATAAATACATTTTTTTACAAAATTTGTATGTTTTCTTCGTTGGGTCGGGTACTCCTGGGACCACCCTCGTATTCCTTGTAGGGTCCCAAAAGTTAATAGCTATGTGATAATTGACAGGTTTTCAGAATAACTTCCATGGCAACTCCCAAGATGGTGGAACCAGCTGATTGCTTAAGTCAGTGAAATAAACTAATGTCATAAAAATAAAGCTAAATACGCAAAACTCTGAGAGTTCTCCATCTGAATAAGAGTCGCGAGTATTTAAAACTGGCGTCATAAAAGCTTTTGTTCTCAGAAATGTGTGCACAAAACATGCACAAAAGGAAGATACTTCTATCTGCAGCTATCCTAAAGATCTATCTATATCGCTGTCTTCCAGGCGACAGATAAATAAAATATGTCATTGTACTTGAGACGATAGTCTTTGTGATTGGAAGAAGCATTTTAAATAGATGTGGTTTTATTGACCAGACGGACATGGGCGATTATCGACATGAAAACCATAGGATAAGTTTCAGACGTTACATTTAGGGCCAATTTCACCAACATTAATATTATGGAAAAATGGGAAAATACCTTATCGAAATGCAATTTGACGGAAGCTGTCAAAGGTCTCTGAATATTAGTGATTTCTATTGAAATATTGAATAAAATCGTGAAAATTCGACTGTATTATAAACAAGACCACTTTTGATTCCAACATGATGCTTCTGTACAGAAAAAACAGGACAACTTTCATGTATTTTGATATATGTTATAGGTTTACATTTAACAATCCGTTATCCCACTCAGCGAATGGGAATGCGGCAAATAATACGTCGATTTTCTAGCTGATAAATTTGGCAGCGGATTTGGACGATTGTTAATGCATGGCACTCTTGAATTTACCAACTTCAATATACTGAAAGTTATCATTACATACCTGTTGAATAGTGTGGATTTGTCTGTATTTTGCAAGAAAAATAGAATATAAAATACATTCCATCCAATTCCTCATCTTCCTTTACGTCATAATAGTAATCATTTATTAATTTATGGGTTAATGAATTTCTTCAAAGCAATAAAAACATTATGCCCTCTCCATCCAAAAACACAGATAATATGTGTAAGACGTGTCAATCCCTACATCTCCCTGATGCATAATGCAATTACTATGGACATATACAAAAAATTATGAAAAATGTTTCACAGATAATGGCTTTTAAGTCCAAAAATCAAAAAACTAGTAATGTTTATTGTTTGTCTATTTTTCTTTTTTGACTGGCGGGGATATCTATCTGACCCTCGCAGGGTTGACAAGTCTAACGACGATCACGTCCCGTGGTGGAGGGTGCGAAATGAATCTTTTACATTGGCTGGTTTGCATTTTTTTCGTGAAAATTTACTAGGTATCATGATTATAAGCATCTTTGGTAGATTGTTCGATCCGGAATGGGGAAGATCTCCTATTTATGAAAATATTTTTGGTATCATCTAACCGTTGCAATCAGTGCACAAACACTGAGACATATGATTTATAGCATAACCCGCTGCCCTATTAATACAAATTTAACATACAGGTCGCCTAGCCGTGGGGATGCAGTGGTCGGGATGAATATCACGGCAGCAACTGATGATTTGGGCATGTCTGGTAACAACGTATGAAGTGAAACTCGCTAACTTCACAAATTTGAAGATTTTGTACAATTTCTTTGAAAATGATGAAAGATATGTCTGATTTGGCAGGGGTAATGTCGCAGCCAAATGGCAGTTACTCTTTCTGACACAGTCCGGATCGAAAGATGACGATACTCGTGAAATGTATTGATACTTCTAAATATAGGATCGTATCGAACATCCCTACTGTCAAGATGTATAACCCAAGGTACCGACGGAGCTATATTGCGGCGTCAAGGAAATAATTTTAAATTTTCATTTGCATTTTTTCAAGTGTTGTGCAATGATTTTGGGAAAAATGTCACGAATAGTCTTATAAAGCATATATATATATATATATATATATATATATATATATATATATATATATAAAGCGTATATTTCAACAGTTGGCGGAACTTACTCCACTGGGACCAGGAGGGTGAAACGGGATATTAATGCACAATCTGGCAACCCTGTCGCACCCTCACAAAATGGCCGCTGATAACCACACAAGTCACCGTGTTGTCATTGAATAGCATGGAATTAAACCTTCAGAGTTTGTTTTGTGATTTGTGACTGGTACCAAGAGTTGACTGATCCCACACATGTGTCACTCCTTGAAATGCAATAATCAGCTGTATTCAAATAATGTCTAATATAAATATAACCTAGAATGTGTACTCGTGAAAAAAGAAAAATATGGCAAATTTGTAGTTTTTTAGCAGGTTTTAGGTTTGATGGTAGCCTTAAGGCGTATATTTGGAAATTTATTAATCGTTGTGAATATAGTGTGGATGTTTGTTCAGTTCCTGAACAACGAAAAGTATTCAACTTTATGGATGTAAGATACGTAATACCTCTGTCTGTTGCTTAGCGGCTGCTGTCGCTTAAGGCGGGTTCTCATTAGTCAATCGTATTGGTCAATAATAATGAATCTATGCCATTGTACGTAGAATTGATCCCTGAATATTGCATATTCACTATATAATGTTGGTTTAAAAATGAATTCAAGGCGAAAAATTGTGCATGCTGGCGATCGTATTATTTGTGATTTTTAAAAAAATGTAATCAGAAACAGGAAAAGTAGACCTCGTCGATGGTGGATCATTTTTTACATAAAATAGAATTTCGTATCTCTTGAGAGAGCAAAAAAATATTCAGAACAACACGAGAGCAAAATATAACCTCCAAACAACCACAGCGGTCTTCCAAGGCGATTGAACACTATAGTTCTGAAGGCGGGTTCTCATTAGTCAATTGTATTGATCAATAATAATGAATCTATGCCATTGAACATAAAACTCAATGGTAAATTTCATCATACTGTGCAAACGGATAGAGCAATATGCTTGAAGGGATTTTCACATTAATGGCATAGATTCATTATTATTGTTCAATAAAATTGACTATAACGCAGCTTTAGGGCCGTGTCGTCAGACGTACTTACAATTGTAGGACGTCTTTGTGGCCTCCTTGATTTTTATAGTTTTCTACTCTTCCGTGTAAGCGCTCAATTTTGAGGTTATGTGACAATATCTGTTTGGATCGAATTGTTCACGTTTTTGATTTTTATCATCTGTTATATAGCCTTAAATTTCCTACAATTCTAGCATTTCTGAAGGAGAGAAAATATACGAAATCGTGGAGGCCATGAAGGCGTCTTAAAATTGTAGGAACGACTGGCGATACGGCCCTTAGAGAACGACAATCGTGACACTACTATAACAACAATCTCTAGTCTCTTTTCCAGCATCCAGTAACGAATGGAAATTTTTCCAGCTCCCATACGGAAGGTTTGGTCTGTCAGCAGATTACGATACATGCGAGCTTCATTTAATGATGCGTATTGCAGGAAGAACAAAGGGCTAACCCAGATTAAGTTCAGGGATACCGATTTTTATTCATGTATGGCTAGGAACAGATAAGGGGTTGGTTTCCACAAAATTTACGCTCTCAGATTGCATAGCTACAACAGTTAGAGGAAATGGAAGGATATAAAACAAGGCGATTCCGTAACCCCATCCAGCTTATTTCCATATTTTTACATGGCTCAGTCACTCTTAATAGCCACAGGTCTCATTAGTTCCAACAGATTGCTTGCTGTTTTCACTTTCGGAGTGGTCGACTCTGGTAGCAGATGGCACTTTGTTCTGTCTTATTTCGACAAATCTATAGATGAATTAAACTTATTAATTTAGAAGCTTCATTTGCCCTAGTAGAGATTATGTCCCGGATGACATATTTGAATTGAAAATGAATGCGGACTTGAGTACGAAGTGAAAGAAAATTATCACCAGGAAACTGTTCACAACAGTGAGTGAAACTGAGTTTCAAACGTTGTCTACACAAGCCAGCTCAACCAAGTTCTTTGTAAATATTTCCGTTACATATTCGACGAAGCCCCAAATTTGACCATGAGCTATTTTGGAAATTAGAAGTAACTACACATCTTATTTTTAATTTAGTGTAGATGATCTCGTGTTTTTGGCGCTGGTACACTCATGAATCATTGATACATTTTGGATGAATCTCCTTCGTCATTTACATCTTGACCTCAGCTCCTGTATGAAATAAATAATAGTTTAAAGAAACTAAAAAAAAACACGCTTTTATAAAATGCATCCCACGCTTTTCACTCTGAATTGAATAATTTTGTTAATAACTTAAATTCTGTTGTGATTAATGGTTCGACCATCGCGGCTAGATAAATGATCGATTGTACAACCTTGCATCTTGTGGACGGTCGAAGCCCAACTCAGGATTAATGGCAACATTCGCAACGAACAAGGTGAGAATGCACCACCTTGAAAAAACTATCAATTATTAAGATATGCTCATATGTTTTCATAAATGGAGGAACATATTAACTAACACATTTTGAAAGCGAATTAATGTCAAGACGTATTTTTTGTCGTGGGTATTTTCTCTCCTAAATATTTTTTACAACAGATCTCGGTTAGAAAATCCTTCGGAGCAAAGTTATGCTTTCTTTATTGAAACTATGGTCCAGTTATAATTTCCATTCCGTTTTATGACTATGTGGGTTGCGACGTGGACCAACTATAATATAATAAAGAGAATTTCTTTTGAAAAATCTCGTTTATTGTATTTATTTTGAAGAAAATCACATTGTTCGCTCTATACTACTTTCATCTGAACGCAAAACTTAAGAATTTGAAAATACTTATGCGATAAAAAACTTATACATATTGTACACATTATATGTCTTAAAGTTACTTCAACAAAAAGTAGGAACTGTAATTTCTTTAACTTTAGACGTCAAGTCAGTCGTTGTTATAAAAATGTTTCATAGCAATATAACATTTTGTGCACAAATATTTAAGACCTCCAAATTTGGTTTAGTGCGGGGACTGAGTAGATGTCACGTCTAAGACTGACTTTTTTAGGCGGATCAATACATCCCAAAATTTCCTCCCAATGATACTGGATTTCATCCGGAAGCTCAGGCCATTTCCAGGATTTCAAAGACTTTTTCATTGAAGAAACGTATGGTCCCTGTTCACAGATTTTTGTAATTTTACCAGGAAAAATTTCTCCTTCATACGTGAATACTACATATTGCCCAACTGCCTTCACGAGTGGCTTAAAATCAATATTCTTGCCACAACCTTCAGCCTGTGCATTAAACTGAACTTCAAGATTTTCTAAATCATCAAGAGAAGCAACATCTGATGAGTCGTGAACTGACATGTTGACACTATCTGCGTAGCTGCTTTCGCTACTAGCTCTACGGTGACGTGGTCTTCGTGCCGTTGAAGGCTTTGCTAACTCTCCATTTTCTTTATCATCCGAAAGTTTGCTTAACTCTTCAGTTACGCTTTTCCCAGGAGTGATATTTAGTTTTGTTTGACGTCGTTTCGTAGTTCCACCTTTCGTCCATTCTAGTCTCTTAGCTTCAAGGCTTTGTAGAAAAGAATCTTGTAAAGCAGTCTGGTCAACAGTTCTAAATGGATTGACGTCAAGAGGAAAAATTCCACATTTTCGGAAACCCGAAATGAGATTAGCCTCCCTCGTTGGTTCCAAGATATCAATGAGTCTGTTCAACAGAACTGGAAAACTGCTTTTTTGAACTACTGTTTCTCGACTGCCTTGTACACTTGCTTTCCATTCGGTGAGGATTTTCCTCCATGCCACCTTCATTGGGTGAAAAAAAGCAACATCTAATGGCTGAGTTAAATGGGTGCTATGAGAAGGCAGGCAAACAAATCTAATATTGTTCTGGTCACAGGCTTTCAAGACATCTACAGAAATATGAGATGACAAATTGTCTCCTATAATGGGACACTCTTGTTTCTTCAGTCTTGGCAATATCTGGGTAAAAAACCAATCATTAAATATATTCATGTCAAACCAACCTGAAGGACTGTTGTTGTATCTGACACGTTTTGTTCCATGCTCTGTCCATGTACTCCACAGTTGCTTGGACTTGTACACTACGTATGGTGGTAGTAATTCCCCCACAGCATTTCCAGCAAACATTATAGAAGTTGAACTTTTGGATGTGTTCCTTATAAGCTCCAGATATTTTGCAACACGCTTAGTTATAATTTTCTTTTGACCAGGATCATCTGAAAGGTTAGTTTCGTCAAAGTTCCATATGTTTTCGGGAAGGACGTCTCTAACCACGTCTTCCAAGTTTTTTATGTAGGCAATGACAGTCTCTTTGTCAACTGCTGCTCTGCTACGTTTTATGTTGGCCGCAAATCTCTGTGTTAAACATGGACGTCTTTTCAAGAAACTTGAAACCCATTCAGTACCTGGACAATTATCTCTAAATTTTGTAACTTTCCGGCCAATTCTATCCAAATATGTTCGAATGACTATTCTAAGGTCGAAGGCTGTCAAAGGAAAACCGTACTCGCTTAGTCTTAAGATGCAATCTACAAATAATTCTTATACGTCCGAAAATGTTGTTGGAGCTCCAGGTGGTCGAGATGGCATTTTAGATCGAGTTTTAGCTGGTTGATGATAGTTCTTCGTGGAATACCACATTCTTCACTGGCTCTTCTTTGAGTGGATACTTTATTTTCTATAGAGGCTAGACATGCTCTTAGATTTTCTTGGGTATAATTCTTATAATTCCGGGAGCCTAAACGTTTCTTGTAATTTCTCCGCATCTTTTCTGAAACAAAACAATAGTTTTATTTATCAAAAAGGTCAATATTATTATTAAAAATGCATATTTCTAGTTTATTCGCTTACCATATAATTTTGGGTTTACTTTGCTCCAGGCGCAAAGTTACCTCAGTATCTATAGAATAATGAGAGCGCAAGAAAAAGAGAGGTTATATAATAAACAACTTAGTTATTTCTTTTAAATATTCACATTTTTGATTAGCTGAATATATACAAAGCAACATGAAAATGTACTTACCATTTCAAGCTATGTGATTTTCAAGATAAAAGTGGCTTTTTTGGATACAAATCGATTGACAATTTCAGCTCCCGCACAAAAATGGCACCTGCTATTGAAAAACAATAGCGGATTAAATCTTTCTGTTGCACTGTTGCTACTCAAATGTCAGATGTTTAGGGTGCGTTCACAATTTATGCCACGCCTTGAAGAAATCGACGTACTAGACGACAAAGTGTTTTACAGAATTGGAGCATAATTACCCATGTAGGAGCAAAGTAGGACCATTTTACGGTACGTAAATGTTACAAATGAAAAAAAAGAGCGCTATTTTAACTATTTGTCACAGAAATATGCTGGAATAACAAAACTTGCCTAAAATGGTTATTTTGCAACCAGGCACAACTTGTCATAGTGAATCACCCTGTACACATCTACGCGACCCACTTCGGAGGGGATCGGTACTTCTTTTTGGTCGTGGTACTATTTATGTTTTGCCGTGGTGACTACTTCAGTAAAGCATGTGACAGCTGATTATCACAAATAATAAAAGTTACAAGAAGTCAGATGTGTTAATCCGACCGAACTGCTGAATCCTAGAAATCTACCCGGCAGGAGAAATTTTCTTGGCGCTAAAAGGAACGTTCATGGGGGCAAAAAACTCAATTACACAAGAAAGTAATGTGAAGCGTCCTATTATTCGTTCTCCCAAGCAGTTGGCAACCATTTTACCGTTCGGATTATTAGCAAGAGCAGTTTAAAAGTGCATCGATTGCAACAAAAAGTAATTTGTAAGATAACGTCTTCACGAGCCGCTCTTTATGGAGACCGTAAAGAAAGCTCAAACTAACGTTACAGAGATGTTAGATAATTCTCCATGTTGGACAGAGAGCAATTTTATCCCTAATTAGAACACTTTTCTTACAACCGCTTGAATGTTTGTTGCTCGCAATTGGGCGCGCAAAGTTGACGTTTGCCAATGACCGAGCCAAATTTACAGTTTCGCCACTCTAAGTTCAGTTCAGTTCCAGCTCTTATACAGATGTTCTAGCAAGAATCGTCAATCTCTCGTACCCGTAAAGAAGATATAAGCCTGAACCAAACGTTGACTGCTTAGTTTCGTAAACAAGTTATTTGAGAAAAACTTTATATTCTCAAAAAAATTATACAAAGACGATAAGTTGGCACTGGGCATTCAGGTTAATGGCTGGGACTTGGCATAAATGCCCGGGAAATGTTGTTAATATTTTATTTATTTGTATGCTATTTTCATTTTCACCTGGAACAATTTCAATTTATTGTGATTGAAGAACAAATACATATTCGTCTTTGTCCGGCAATTGAAAATAATCGAATAGAAGGGCTGGGCAATGTGGATACATGTGCAGCCAGACGAAAATACTAACGAATGAAAAAGCAATATTAAAACCTGAATTCTGGAGTTGACAGAGCCTTCGCTTGCTTATTATCAGCAATACGGTAGTTGTTTTATTCAACGTTTCAAATGTAAACGTTGTTGCGTTTACTTTCTGCAATGACATCAAAATAATGGTTTGAATAGTGAAATTGGCTTTAAATTAACAATATGTGCTTCTGTAAGCAATACATAAAACATAACCACACATTACCTTACATCCCACTATATCATGATTGGACGCTGTTTGACAAGCATTAACGTTATTTCCTGGTTAATCATGTTAACAGCGCCCGTGCATTGTTGTTATCAGAATATTACTGCCCGATTTAGCGCAATTGCCTCTTACATATACACATACCGGATGTTTCAAATTCCACCCAGTCACTTAAATGGAGGGAAATTTGCGTATTCAGGTAAGTAGTAAAATGCCGCTTAGAAAGTTTCAAAATTCAAAGAACTTCCGGAGAGAGACGGCAAAAACGGATTTTACAAAAATCGACTTTATTTGCTGTATGATTTTAAAATAAATTGCACATTATCTTCCACTTTTTCTACAAGATGGCATAATTAGAATTTCAATATGAGGTTTCGTCTCTCATCCTCTAACATCAGCTTAATTTTTTCTAATGGATTTTGTATTTGATTTTTGTACACATGATTTTAATTCTGACCTTGGAATTATCAGATAGTTATTTTTTTGTATATCGGACTTATCGTAAAATCGTTGTTTATTTCGTGTTGGTATTTGAAATATTATACTTCTTTCAAAGCTATCGTATTACTCAATTGATCCTTCTGCTGTACTTCTAAAATCTTATTTAGAGCAAAGACAACAGCTCGCTGAATACAAGGGTTGTACATCTATACCCAGCACAGCTTCGCAAGGCGTGCCACAAGGATCTGTCATTGGCCTTTTGGTTTGTATCAACGACCTGATAAATTGTCTTTCTCATAGTATGAATAAGCTCGTTCTTTGTGCTGATGACACCACTCTCGTCTCAACCCACAATTCATTTACAAACTCCAGCCAGTATATCTAGTATTCAGGATTGGTTTATAGATAACAAATTAAAACTGAATTTAAACAAATCTCAAATCATTACAACTACTCTCCGAAATATTGATCAGAATGATGACCACGCAAAAGTAGTGAAGTTTCTTGGTATGTATATCAACTCCTTTTTTACTAGGATGACCATATCAGTCATGTAATCAAATCCTTAAAAATAATGTAATCAATTTGCAACTTAAAACTCACTAAACGTCTTGTTGACCAGTTATTAAATACACTCGACCTTAGAAATGAGAAGGTCAACTGCTTAGACAACCCATGCTCCTCTATGTGTCTGTAGAAGATTCCATGCATAGACTTGTCTCTATCATTGTTGTTATTATGTTGCTTTGTGATACAATTTCACAGTCATAAATAGCGTTACTCTGACTGCATTATGAAACTGTTCATAATTAAAAAACGACCCTTAGTCTAATCATATTAGCAAATTTTCTCGAAATAATTATAGACTCTGATTTTACTGGGTCAAGTTGTTCAAGGGAAATATGCACGTATAAAATGGATGCACCTATCTTTGTCGGTAAAGTTTTTATTTGACAGCAAAGAATGAGAAAACGTGTTTTTGGGATCCCATCGGAAGTGTTGTCAGAAACGAGAAAACTTTTCATACAAAATTTTTACGTGTCTATGAGACCACACGTAAAAAGATCCGACTAATAGCAAAGATGTTATTTCCGAAAAACGAGGCAAAATGCAGGTTTTGACTTTTGTTGGAAATGCAACGATAATTTCACACAACTACTTGAAATTCTCCAAATCGGTAGGATTCATATTTCTAAATAATAACAACAAAATTGGTAAAGCAGTTTTTTGAGAATTGATAATTGTTCATCCTAAAAAACCTGTTTTCCGGCCATCACTACTAGTTTATTGAGCAATATACAGGGTTCATTCAGAAAGCCTCTAATAGCCAAATACAGATGTTTACCTTGCCGATATGAATCGCAAACCATTCCGAAGATAAATGTTATTTTTATGCGAAAAACAAAGGTTACGTTTTTTTCTTCTAAACACATTCAAAAATTTCGTATTTGTGAGTAATTTAACAAATGCGCTATGATATTCGAAAAACATACATTACTATACACATTTTAAAACAAAGCGCATGTGTCTATCATCTTTTGATGCGACTTACTCACAAATACGAAATGTGAATTTGTTTAGAAGAAAAAAACGTAACACATCCCTTTTTGCGTAAAAAAAACATTTATCTTCTGGAATGGTCTGCGATTCATATCGGCAAGGTAAACTAGTGTATTTAGCTATAAAATGCCTTTTGAACTAGCCCTGTATATTGCTCAATAAACTAGTAGTGATGACCGGAAAACAGGTTTTTTGGGATAAACAATTAGAAATTCTCAAAAACTACTTGACCAATCTACTCCAATTTAGTTGTGGTTATTTAGAAGTACGAATCGTTTGAATTTGAAGAATTTCAAATATCTGCGTGAGACCATCGTTGCATTACCAACAAGGGCCAAAACCTGCAGTCTGCCTCGGTTTTCGGCCATAACTTTTTGTTAGTCGGATCTTTTTACGTGTGGTCTCATTTTGTAGGTCTCATAAGTACCTAAGAATCTTAAATCAAAAGTTGTTCCGTTTCTGCCAACACTTTAGATTGAATCACAAAAAACACGTTTTACAATTCTTTGTTGTCGAATAAAAAGTTTTTCCACAAAAATTGGGATACCCATTATATGCGTCCATGTTTTAAATAAGCCCCTTAGCCAACTTGCAGTAATAAAACCAGACCTAACTATTATTTCGCAAACCATGGGTATTTTGTCTAATACTCTTAAGTTTTGCATATGGAAATAAAACAACATGGTAGGTAGTTTTAAATGACTTCATTGTTTTTCGAAGTATTTTCCACGAAGGTTAATACACATCTGCATGCGCTCGAACCAATCTTCGAAGCACTTATTCCACTCGTTTGCTGGCAGATCCAAAACAGCATTTTTGAATGCGTCAACTGCTTCTTCTGGTGACTGGAACCTTTGACCACGCAGTCTGTATTTAATTTTCGGGAAAGTAGGATCGGGACTATATGGAGGATCGTCCAAAAATTCCACGTTTTCTTCCGTTAAATACTGCCTTGTTCTTTGAGCTGTGTGCGAGCTTGCATTGTCTTGGTGTAGGATGATTCTTTCGGGGTTGATTTTTCGAAGCTCGGTGATGACTTTTGGCAAACAAATGGTGGTATACCAATCCGCAGTAACAGTTCATTGCTCATTAAGAGGAATTGTTGGAATATGACCCGCTTTTGACACAAATGTAGCGACCATCTTTTTCGAAACACTTCGAAAACGGATGACTTTTGTTGGCTTTTATTCACCTTGGAACACCCAAACAGCCGTCTGTCGTTATTTTCTGGTTCATAACAGTAAATCCACGATTCATCACCACTATCAATGCTGTACACATTTTTTGAGTTTCCGGAATTGAAACGGTAAAGCGTTTTTTGACACCAATTAACCCTGGCTGCTTTTTGCTCTTCAGTCAACAGGTGGGGTATCCAACGAGGAACTAATTTTCTTACTCCTAATTTTTCATGTAAATTTTTTTGAATTGAGGTCTTTGAGATCTTCGACGACGCCTCAATCTCGCGATATGTCACATGTCTATCTTCAATGATGAATTTGCGCACAGCATGGACGTTTTCCTGGGTGGCTGCCGTTTTTGTTGCACCCACCCTGGAATCGTCGCTAAGACTCACCCTTCCACGTTTCAGTTCTCCATACCAACGGGAAATTGTCAACTGATGTGGCGCTTCGTTGCCGAAAACAGACAGTAACTCAGCAAGGCATTCTTGTTGCGATAATTGTCTCTGAAAGTTGTAATAAATTATGGCGCGAAAATGTTCTCGGTTGTGTTACATTTTTCTAATGACTTGGTGACACTTAAAAATTCTCTGTAGTGAGAACACTGCACGTATAGTTGTGAAACTTTGAATTTAAGTTTACCAAAGAGTGGGGTTTCGATTCAGTATTGACGTTCGATCCGCGCGGCCTACTATGATTCTATATGCAAAACTTAAAAGACATCCCTCGTATGATTAGACTACCTGAACAGATACGCGTCATGCGATACGCGAATTCCTCATATCGTTGGGAATAACCCTGCTGTGTGGAATCAAATGTGCTGACACTAGGGCACAGGATATTCATAAAAATAACATCTTTTCTTAAAATGTTGTTTTATTAAGATCTTTTCCTTCGGCGCACAAGGTAATATTCCTCATAAATGTTGCCCTTTATGTGTTGCTTGTGCATCGAAGATAATGAAATCAATCGATTTTTCTGTTTACTATCCTGTTGCCCATAAAATAATCCTTGGAAATCATTGGGGGCATAAAGTTATCAAAAATACGGCGACTTAAATAAATGGGCAGCTAGAGAAACATAAAGTTAAACGTCGCTGAACGGTTCTCTTCCATTCCTCGTACATTTGAAGGGATATTTCTGGTATTGCTCATCTATTATTCCTATAAGGAAATATTGTGATTCTATGAATATAAAGCGGATGCTAGCATTTGGCATAGCAATTTATGACCAACTTAACGTCAGCTGTGTGGCGAACTATACAGGATGGCCCAACTATGCGAGAACTCAACAGTGGTCATCTATGCTGCACGAGAAATGCGAATCAAAGCTAGCTAATCTTAATGATCGGATCGTTAGTTGAGAATTATTCCATGTCTGTCTGATAGGCAATCTGTTAATCTGCAAATTTCCGAATATTGCTCCAAAAATAAGTTACATCCAGAACTTACTTTTTCGTTGACGTATAACAAACAATGGAGTCACTAAGCTCGGATGCAAATGGTCTATCTTTGTCAATGGCTCGATTGTTCTATTTGACATCGTAGGTACGAGGGTTGTCTCAAAAATAAAGTTTTCAACGCTGTATCTTTGCCGCGAGTGATGCTAGATGCTAGATGAAGTCTGGCAACACCGTTGTGCCTGTTGGCTCCCTCACCACCGATCCCAACAAGAAGCGCCTATTTGTGATGCTTAATACCGGTCCGATAGCTATGCGTAAAGGAGCCCTTCATCGTCGTCACCGCCAGGTCCGAACATCGTGCGGTAATGCGAGTTTTGCACGCAAAAACGTTACCACCAATAGAAATTCATCGCCACTTGAGTGTATAAGGGTGATTCCACAAAAATGGGCAACTCAGTGTCATCAATCAATATATATATAAAGCTTTATAAAATGTTGTTCATATTTAGTTTTATTTTTAAACAACTAAAAGACTTCTATTTGGTCGCCTAATTGCAGCGGTTTATTGTGAAGACTCAGCACAAAAAATCCTCAAAACGTCAGTTCTTTGGCATGCCACAATCCCAAAAACGCACAATCAAGTGGCCGTCTATTAAACATTACCATTAATTTCAGAAAACTTGCTATTTCATAATATAATATTCGCACAGTTAGTTATTAAAAATTAAGAAATTTTGTGTTTAGTTCCATTCGTCAGTCCGTTGTGTGTTGCCCAAATATAAAATTGTCGCCAAATATCACCGACTCGAAATTGTATCCATATTGAATTTTAACATCGGCGGTGAAGAGTGCTGCAGACCGTGCCATTTGACAGCTGACCAGACTAAGCCAGTGCTAGGGTCGTGGTGACTGTTAATACATGTGCCGATCCAGTCAAAATACCAGTACTGTGGAGAGGCGATGTTCTGTACAAACTTCACTTTCATTTTGATTCATATGTAGTTAACTGTAATATGTTAAAATATAGCTTGTTGATATTCAAGAATACCAAAAGAAACATTAGTTCGAATTATAATCTCAAAATAAGGTCATTCTCGTCAGTACTTTGGCGTCAGTAATTACAGTTTAAAGCTCCTGAAAAAAAAAAAGAATTTGTCTAAAGAATATACAGGGTGTTCCTTAATGATATGCGAATATTTAAGGGTGTGAATCTCCATAAAAAATTAATGTTAGTTTGCTTTATAAACTATGGTCCAAAAATGTTTCCTTACAAAAACTCGGGGTGTTGAAGTTTTAGGAAAAAAGCTGGAAATTGATTAATATTTTCAGAACCGCTTCAGATGTTTCACTGATATTTAGTACGTAGTGAAAGTTAATAAAGTTGCATACTTCTCAATGCAAAAGTAATTTTTAGCTTTAACAGTGGCGTGCGTGCGGGTATTGGCTTCGCTTTTTTTTGAGAAAAAAATGGTAGGCCAATGGTTTTTTGCCAAACAAAAATTATTTTTGAATTCCCCGTTCAATTTAAAACAAATGATCTCTCTTGAATTGTTCTCCTTCGATGCGCCATTTTTGAGTAAAGAAATAACCGTTCTATTGTCTAACTTGCAAAATTATTATTAATTTAATTGGAAAAATTAAACACATTAGGGGTAATGAACAACAACTGACAACCTAAACAACGGGCGAAGAGTTGCAGACTGCTGGTGGCAGACTTTCTTGAGGTGCGAGCGGAAAAGTGGCTTTCACATTTAAAAAATTGGTGACTTAAAGATCAACATTTCCAATCGTGAATTCGATTTTTCAAATAAAAAATTCCTTATGCCTGAAAGAAATGTGATAACCTTAACTTTAACCCTCGTATCACTAATGATTGTTTAGAACAGGGGTACTTTCCATCAGCATGGAAACAAGCTTTGATTGTACGCGACACGGACATTTAACGACGTGATACAAAAGCTAGTGCTCCGACTTGACAAACGTTTAAACGTTTATGGTGACCAATCCCCTAAAAGCTTAAGCGCGCTGAACTCAACGACCTAATGCCTATCAGTTTACTACTAATTTTGTCTAAAATACTGGAGAAACTAGTAAACCAGCAACTAACCACTTATCTTGGAAAACACTCAATAATTCCTGATAGCCAAAGTCAATTACCTTAGTTGGCAAGGCACTTGTATACGTCACTCCCCTCCTAGACAAATTCCTAAGTGCGCCACTATCTTCATGCTAATTAACGTTCAACGAAGACGATCAACGTGATAGATGGCACTTGTGATTTCAAGAAGCTTTAATTATATTCACTGTAAAACGAATTTGTTTTGTATCTTGTTCCTGGGCTGTAAAAGTGTTTTGTAAACACTTTACTGGGCTATCTTGCACTGTGTTATACCAATTGTTAACATTATCGATGGAGAAAAATATGCGTAGTTGGCGCAACTCTTGGTACAAACAACGCCTTTACCTACTAGTCCAGTTAAATAGCCGAAACTGCCGCAAAAGTGATAACACAGCCACAAAGTTATGTCCGCTGGCGTAATGGTGAAATAAAGGCTTGCGAATATTGTCGTAAGAGTTTGGTTTTCCACAAAACCAGCCGGTTTTTGTAAAATAGCGAAAAACCCAAAAAACCTCTTTATCGCTGAAACGGCTGAGGATATCTGGGATTTTTTGTGTAAATTTTTGTGGGTCATCAAAAAAGGTCACTGCAATTTTTTTGCTAAATAGCTTAGTTTTCCAGCTACAGCTTGCTGATAGTTTATGGGTGAGGGGCTTACACGTGCGTACACATATCACCAGCCGCCGCACCGTTGACGCCGACGATCCTCTTTTAAAATGTTGACGTCCTCAGTGTCTCACTGATAGGCCAGTCGACTTCGAATAAAATCGTTTGTAGTTGTGGCGTTCACCGACGTAGATACCGAGATAAATTTTTCTCCGTCCGTGTTGGAGACGCCTATTCTTCTAGCCATTGTGTTACTAGTGGAGTTCCACAAGGATCTGTGCTAGGGCCAATACTTTTTCTTCCTTATACAAGCGACCTTCCCACCCGACTTTCTTCTGTGTTCCATCTATGCAGATGATACTATACATACAAGACCTCAAGCTGATCAGAAAGTGGTCAGAACTTTGGCTCCTGCCTTTAAATCTCTTGAAATGCTACGTTCTCTACCTGGGAAAGAATAATCCTAAATTAACATATAAGATTGGCAAACATACCTTAGAGACTGTTTTTCTTCACACAGATCTTGGTCTGACAGTTAATGACCAGCTCACCTGGTCGGACCACATTCAGAACATAACCTCTAAAGCAAAGCGGTTGCTATATATGACGGAAAGATCATTTAGCGGTTG